AACCTATTACTTTGTTTAGTTTAAGAGAATGCCTTCGGTATTTTGGTACTTAAAGAAGTGAATATATCAATTTTTTTTTATTGCAATAATCTATAGGTTATGTTCGTTTTTAGTAAAGTTTGATTTGCAATATTACTATTCCACGTGAATATTCTCGCGGATTAGTCCCATCGAAAATGACATGTTGATAATGTTTATCGTGGCCACACTTCTAAAAAAAAATTATAATATAAAGTCCTTCGAGAAACAACGTTCCAAAACAAAATACAATAAAGAAATATGGAAGATAGAGTCACGAAAATCACACCAAGCACGTAACATCAAAAGCACTATTTGGTCACAGTAACATAAAATTTAGGCTACCAATCGAGGACTTAATAGCATATGTTTAAGGAAACAAAAATGAGTGCACCACGGACCCATCATATGTAAAATCATATGTTATCAGTGAAAAAATTAATTTAGTTATAATTTTTAACTATTTTTAATATAATTATTTAAATAATTAAATTTTTATTTATTTAAAATTTATAATATTAAATATATTAATTTATTTAATAATATATAAACATTATTTTTTATATTATTACTTATTACTTACCAACTGTTGTTGTTAGTTTTAAATTTTAATTGCAAAAGATAATTAAAAAATATTTTTTCTGCTGATTTTGATTTGAGCGAAAAAGTAGTTGAAAAAATTATAAATGATCAAATTATTTGATTAGCTGAATAATTTAATTCGATTGATCAAAATAAAACTATCTCCCCTTTGCTTCGCTTTGTTTCTCTCATATCTGAAAACAATTATTAAAGTCATTTAAATATTTTTTTAAATAATATAATATTAAAAAAATGTAAATAAGTGTGAAAATCAATCATGGTGAACCGTTGACTTAATTAACAAAATTATCACATTAAAAAAAATTAACAAAATTATCATATTAAAAGTTTGATAGAAGCTAAGAGATAGGATGTCAATCGTTGTATTTTTTTGACTCAAATGAAAGAAAATATCAATCTTTAAGTAAAATAATTAAAAAGAAAAGCATAAAGTTTTCGAGGAGATTAAGATCCCACATTGTAAGGATTAAACAAACGCCTTATTGATTAAATTAGTAAGGGTTTAAGGTTTGATTTGCACAAATCTAACCAGGTTCAAAGGATGCAACCTAACAAGGGCCTGAAAATGAATATTTATATATTTGTTTAATTGTACCATATAAGAAAATAGTCAAATTTGATTTGGGGATGCATGATTCACAACTCAGCAGCTGTTAACTTCCCAATTGCATTATAAAATCATTAATCAAAACCTTAAATATCCCAACACCCAATATTTTATTTTCTTGTTTTAAAAAATCCCAGTGGCTTGATGTATAGAACATTATACTGAATGTGAAAGTATCTGATGTTAGAGCATGAGATTTCCGGGCTTGGGATTTGCTTGTTCAACATCGAGACAAAACATACGGGATTTGGAAAAAGAGAAGGCTAAACTCCTGTAATGTCGTGCACATTACATTAAGATATCTCTTCTTGAAATAAGAATGAATGAGCTGTGATGAAATATATCCTATTATCCTGGAGTAGGGTCTAAGATATTCCTAGTGAAGATCACACTCAAATTAGCTAGGTAAATCTTGAAGAAAGTGAAACAGATTCTCTGAATGTGAGGATCCAAGTAAAGCAGCTGATATCTGAAAACATCTGGCCTTTGATTCAGAATTCAGATAGGCAGATGTATCAATGGCTGTCATGAATCACAATGTTTATGCAGTTGGCACAAGCTTGAAAAATAGGTAATCTGTTGCCTTCTGCTAAATGGCATTGGAGATATGTCCTACATGATTCTTCTTTGTGTGATAATAATATGCCAATATCTGCGGTCTGTGATTAAAACAAGTCCACAAGTATCCAAACCGGATATCTGTTTGATGTTCCAATATAAGTATGATAAGAAAGTATGATTAATCATCAGCAACGAGCCAAACAAGACTACAGTACAGTGCAGATCCTAACAGAGGGACAGTTGCCACATAATGTCAGAAATCTGAATACAAACAATTTGAATTATGTATTTTATGATTGGTATGGAGTGACTAAATGAGAAGATAGGACCCAAAACAATGTCTCTATCTGAACATCATTATGCAATGTTTTTCAAATGTTTGTTCTCCTAACATTTTCTTTCGTACTTTGTTTTTTTTTTGCTCCATATGGCCGGTCCCTCGTTTGTTGAAAATGCATTTTGTTTTCTTTTCTGCCCCTTGTCTAATGATTCAAAAGAAAGATTGTTGCAATTTGATTTTGTTTCAACAAGTAACAAGTTGTGTTTATTGGCAAAAGCAAGAGGAAACTGAAAAGTTTCTAAACTTATATGGTCAAAGATAGCTTGGCATTATCTCAAAATATTCAGTGAACATAGATGTGTGTCTTGAAGCATGAGACAGACAGAATTGATTATTTCATTGTGCAGGTTGAATATCTTCATTGAAATCTCAAGCAAGCTTGAATAACATGTATTATTAGTAATGCACATAGGCCATTTGAGATTAAGAAAACCCATGTCAAAGGAAACAATTTGAAAGCTGTGCAGGGGTGAATGTTGAACTGCTATCTATCTCAGCAAAATAATTGACATTGATTCATACTGTTATTGCAACTTAATGGTACTTTCTTCAGTAGAAAATCATATTTACAAAAACATCAGTTATGATTTGATCTTCATACTCCACCATTGGAATGAATTCATGCCATTGGTCTTAATTATCCACTTAGAACAGTGGGTTTTTTTTTTTTTTTTTTCTTGGTGAATAAAATTTATTAAGGGAGTACAGGGGGTACTCCATCCCTTAAATATTACATGATAAGTTGATAAAGAGTAGGAAGCTTCAACGATATAGCAGTAAACATGATCACAAGCTACAAACTGAAAATTATTGCATTTCTAGATAACCAAATTGACCATGCTGCTGTGAAAATGGTGACATACCAGGAATTCCAGGATTTATAACTTCCAACTTCCAAGGCCAAATGCTAAATGGTGAAGGCGGTGGATAGCCGTGCCTGGGCTAGCAAAGGAGCCCAAAAATGACATATTTTCATCCAAAACTTGCGGATTTTGCTACAGGTCACAAACACATGGTCTATGTGTTCTGACTATTCTTCACTTAATACGCATAATACACACTTGTCCTTCTGAGTCAAGTCTACCCCTCTCAAGACTAGGTTATCCTTAGTTGCAAGCATCACTGTCAAGGCACGGGGTGGAGGAGTCCATGAAAAAATAAGCAGCTCTTGCCGAGTATCCAGAGTGGTTGTGCTGCCAAGTCATTTGATCTTGACTCTCTCTGGATAGATGAACTCTAAGGATGGCAACTTTGAGGAGCTCCAACTCATCATGTTCTCCGCCAAAAGGTGGCCTTCTCCTAAAGAAATTCCAGCTGCTGATGAGATCCTCTCCTGTCAAAATACTTGCCACTGTAATTTCTCTGTATAAACAAAGGCTATACAGATTGGGATAGGTGATACTTGCCACTTGGAACAGTTTTGCTAACCTTGACAATGAATTGAGTTAATTTCTGGCCCCCATAAGTTCTATTCTATTATCATTTCGCAAGGAAATACCCCAATGAAAATAAGACTTACTCTGAAACAAGAGCTGCCAACCCATGCTATCAATCACCAGAATCTCTACTTAGTTTCAAGGTGAAACTTATATATGCTTCAAACTGGTGAAAAATTAGTTAAAAAAAAGGTGCACTCGGTATAATAAAATTCAAGTAATAAAAACAAATGAGAGCATCGCATAGGATGATGCTGAGAAATTTTGTAACAGTTCAAGCATCAAGAGTAAGACATCCACACTCAATGACTAAAGAACAGCTCAATTCCTTCTCTATTTATAATGCTACCTCAAAGTTCTCACCAGTATTTTCCCAAGCTAATTTTGAGTGAATTCAGAAACTGATGTTGGCTGCAAAATGAGGATCCTAGCAGTGCAACGACCTAAGTAGGTAAGTGGTAATGCTGCAAAATGAGGATGCTAGTAGTGCCAACGACCTAAGTAGCTTAGTAGGCTAAGGAATGGGAGAGGTTGCCTCCTGTTATGCAACCAACATCTGAAAAAAAAGGGATCCTAGCAGCCATCTGCAGTAAGAAGGATATTTTATCTTATGTTACTCTAAGTAGATGGTATTAAAAAACTGAAGGGGGGAAAGTAAAGAAAGGGAACATAGCATTTAGCAGCAGACCTCTTGTGCCATTTTTTTATCTGAAACAATTCTGGGAAACTTTTAATTTTATTGTCTATCATCCTGAACAAGAGCATGCAGTATATATAACTTAACAATTCTGTATTTTTCTTGTGAAACAAAGGAAGTAGAGTTAGAATGCTAAAATTAGTAGCGGTATGTTTTCTGATACATTCTCAAACAAAATTTGGATTCAACATCAATATATATCACACATCCATTCAGCCCGCTATAACTCGTTGGTAGTGAAGCCAATAATTAGCAGTAGATGGATAATCTCTTTCCCCCAAAACCCACTTCCAAGATCAGATCAGAAAACTAAGTTGAATCATTTTCCTAGGAAACAAACAAGATCTTTTTTTGCATTGTCAATGTCTAGGTTACATACAAAAAAGTTTAGGCAGGCCATAGAAATAGTCCCAAAACATAAAAGTCTGACTTGGCAAAGGTGGCAAGCCGCCGTGCCAAATTTTTATTAGGAAATTCTGAGGAAACTAAACAGGGTATTGACTAATCCCTTCAGATTTGCTTGACAGTCTTGTCTAGTTGGATTACAATTGTAATATTACTGGGAAGGAACAAAACTCAACGAACAAGTCTCTTCTTTTTATCATATTCCATTACTCTGACTACGCTACAGAATTATGCTTTCATACTGTAGTGAACCTGCCAAGAAAGTGATGGAATCTCAAAAGTCTCAACTTCACAAGTTCCCACCATTATATCCAGGGGGCACTTTTCTCTTGATTGTTAAGTAGACAACAGAAATTACAAAGCAACATCATTTTTGTGGTCCCTTATTATAAAATTTGCCTATATAAAACTCGAACGCCCTCTTTCAATCCCTCCTTCATACCATCACATACATCTCTGTCCCCCCTCCAAAAAAAAATTCTCCCCTCTCCCCTCTCCCCTCCCCCCCTCCCCCCTCCCCCCACCTCCGCTCCTTTTCACAAAATTTTCCTAATTTCTACTTCCCTTCTCTGCTTTCCATCCGTTCCTTGAGAGGGTACCCCTTTTGAAGTTTCAATATATCTTCTTTTGCGTTAGCTTGCATACTTTTTCTTCTTCTGTTTTATATAGTGATTGAATTTGGATATTCTTCTTTTGATTTTCTTACTATATTACTTTTCTGTTTCCAAGCAGATAACTCACCAGTTTCTACACAATGGGAAGAGCTGATTCTGCTAACCAGAAGAAAAGGGAGACAAGTCTTCCCCCAAAGAGGGGCCAGATAAAAGCTCAAATATTGGAGAAATTGTGCAAGGCTGTCGTCTTTGTTGTCTCAAAAGCAGGAGAATCTCACAAGAGAAATGGAGCAGATGGCAAGAGCTCAGCCTCCACAACTCCATTTCCTAGTGGCTACAACTCTGATGCAAATGGTGGCAACTCTTAGAAGATGGTCATGTTGGTCTTTGGTAATCAAGTTATTATCACCTTCTGGACTCAGTTCTCTGAATTGAGCTCCTTCTATACCTTCTCAAACTTTTGAAGGCACCTTGCTTAAGTTGGAGAAGTTGGTATCTGTTATCTCTAAAACCCCAATAAAGAAAGTAGTACTTAAGTATGCTGTGAAACTCTGATATTTTAGATTCAGATTCACAGCTTCTGTTTGGTTTTTCACATGTAGAAATTAAGTTAATGATGTCATTAGGTGGACCTGCTTAACCTTTGTTTTTGCCAGTTTAAGCAGGAACGCTCCATCTTAGTCCATGTGCCTTTGTATCTTGTAATTAAGACCTCTTCCTTCATTGTTGTTTTCCTGCAAGTTTTAGGGAGGAGATAATGTGTTTGGAAGAGGTTTGGTCGTGTTTGTGTCTTTATCCACCTCAGTTGTGCTGTTGTATTATTAGACCATACAATGAATGAGAAGTCTCCTAGTTTTCATTTCATTTGCCTTATAATTCCAAATCTACTATGATGTTCTTAAACGGTTGAACAGATCCTAAGAAACACTGCTTAATTTTTCATGCAAAACACACCTGTTGATCATGTTTTAGGCTGATTAAAAGGCTATCGAACTTTTCCAAGATTTCATGATTAGTTTATGAAAAAAATCCGACAACTATGGGTTCAGTTTCGCACTTGAAATTCTTAAAAATTGGAAGGATTTGGCATGTTTAGATAAGGTATGCTACTATTAGTTCATCCTAATCAGAGAATCTATTTTTTATTTGAATGGATTGTGGAAAAGAACATAATAAACAGTAATTATGTTAATGGCAGAACTTTAACCAATAATCCATGTTTTCTTTTATCAAAGTGGAGTAGATGCCAACATCCTAGGCTTTTGTCTTAGGATAAGCATTTATCTTTTCCAAATCCCTCCTTAACATCACAAAACCAATACCTCTTTAATACAATTTCTTCCATTTTCCAATATGGTATGTGTTTGAACGATTCAAATGATTAAAATCTATATGCAAAGATGGCTCTTTTTTTCTTTGTGAACAAAAAATCTGAGTCAGGCATATCCAGGTTCTATACCCTCTGACTACACACCACAAGATAATGCTTCGGTCTCTACTAGGGAAACTTTCCAGGAAGCAAGTTAGAAAGTATTATTTTGAATCTTTGATGCACGCCTACCCCAGCCACTAATATTCCCCTTTTTCTTTTCTCGGTTCCTTTTTGGAATTCTTTTCTATTTTTAATTCTATAATTGTTGTTGATTCAGACTTTCTTTCTACAAGTATACCCTTCAATCATTCTTTAGGCGGCTCAGACAATTGGAATCATCAAAATTGTAGCAAAAAATGGTGGCTCTATACCACTACGAAGTCAGAAGTATGAACTCAAAACACTAGGACGGTGGTGACGGCTCTTATCCAAAGACGTACGTATTCACGTAGACTTCATAAACTCTTCTACTGCTTGTATTAAGGATTTTTATTTTTGTTTGAACATTCAAGTGTTTTTAGTCCATTATTATTATTATTATTATTATTATTAATAAACATGAGAGAATATGGAGGACTGAGAATAATTTAACTGTTATTGTAACAGATAGAATTTTGACAAATGTTATGAGTTTAATGCATCTAAACTAAAGTATTCAAAATTACTTGTGTTTAATCAATTTTTATTTATCAACCTATATATATAAAAAAATTAATTTACATAAATACTAACTTTAAAAGTTAAACCCCTGCATTTAATATATAAAATGACACTTATAAGTAAATCTATAATTTGGGTTGATTGCATTAAGGATTTAAGATTAGGTTTAAATACTATTTTGGTCCCTCAACTTTTTACTTTCACACCAAAATTATTCTCTAACTTTAAAAAGTATCAAAATTATCCTTAAACTTTCATTTTCGATACCAGAATAGCCTTTTTGTCAGTTAAATGGACAGGCGGCATGTTAACTTGCCAACAAACCAATTTTTTTTCTTAACTAATGACATGGAAAAAAAAAACATAGTTGGCCATCTTTTGTATGAGTTGGCATTTTTATTTAATTTAAAATAATGATATCTTTTTTTTTTTCATCCACGTCATCTCTTCTTCCTCTTTCACTTTCTCTCTCTTTCACCTTTCCTTTTCCCTTACCTCTGCAAATCTAGATCTGGGTTCTCTCTCAGACTTCATCTTCTTCCTCCTTTCCTCCTCCCTGCTCATCCTTCTTCTTTCTTTTTCTTATTCTTTCTCTTTCTCTCTTCTCCCTTCTTCTTCCTCTCTCAAACCCAGATCTGGGTTTTTCTCAGTCAGAATCAATGCCTTTTGTAGTGGCATTTAAACCTTTTATCGGAATCACAAAATACGAAACCAAATGTAGCAGATATTAAACACAAGTCAGCTCAAACAAAAGGTAAACCCAATGTTGAACTTTAAAGCACAAATTAAAACTCAACAAATTAAAAGTGGCATATCAAAGACGAAAAAATAGTGTTAAAATAGTCAAGAATGGTTAATGACAGATACAGTTGCATCATAGAACACTAAAAAAAAAAAAAATCAAAACTTTAATGGACAAGCATAATGTAGATTGAGGGTTTCAAAACACCTTCCATAGACCCTGCAAGGGTCTTTCTGGGGTGGGAGAGCAATCAACGATCTTCAGAAAATGCTTAAGCTCCCACTTCTTCCTTGACTACCACTCCTTCTCCTTCCTCTTCTATTTCTGCCAAGATTTATCATTGTTGAGGCTCGTCTTGCTAGCAAAATGTGTATACATTTTCAATAAGAAATGGTTCGGCAAGCTCCTAGGGTACCCGTTTTCAGCCCCAACATTCACTTCCTCACTATCTTCCCCTTGTAAGTTCTCCGAACTCCAACTCCTTTTGAAATCGTTCCTACCTTTCCTCTCTTCTATGTTCTCATAGCTAAAGCTTACATTTTCTTCGACCAAGATGTGGCCGCTACCCATGAAATTGACATTCACTGGAACTAGATTTTGATCCAAACACATGAATTCAAGCTAGCACTCAAAATCTTTGGACAAGATTTCACTATGCCCCTCTAGATCGAGAAAATTCATGATTAAAAGAAACCACTAGCTTTTTCTTACCACTGATTCGTCGTCACAGAAGGCATTGATTTTGACTGAGAAAAACCTAGTTTTAGGTTTGAGAGAGGAAGAAAAAGGGAGAAGAGAGGGAGAGAAAGAATAAGAAGAAGAAAGAATAAGGATGAGCATGGAGGAGGAACGAAGGAAGAAGATGAAGTTTGAGAGAGAACCTAGATTTGGGTTTGCAAAGGTAAGGGAAAAGGAAAGGTGAAGGAAGAGAAAGTGAAAAAGGAAGAAGAGATGACGTGGATGGAAAAAAAATCATTATTTTTAAATTAAATAAAAATATCAACTCATACAAAAGATAATCAACTATGTTTTCTTTTTCCATGTCATCATTTAAGGAAAAAAAAATTGATTTGCTGACAAGTTAATGTGCCAATTGTCTATTTAACTGACGGAAAGACCGTTTTAGTATCAACAATGAAAGTTTAAAGATAATTTTAATATTTTTTAAAATTAAAAGATAATTTTGGTTGTCAAAGTGAAAAGTTGAAGGACCAAAATGGTATTTAAACCTTAAGATTACAACAAGTACAGACCTACTCAGAATGCATGGGACCTGATTTTGCCAGTGAAAATTATCACATACGTTATTTATTGACCCTAAATTGACGTTTAGGGTTGACCTTTCCCACTGCTATTAACTACTCTGCTGAAAATTTTTTGTTTTTATTTAAAATAAGTCAGTTCAAATCTTTAGTGGAAAGAAGTGGAGAAAGAGAATGAAAATTTGAATTCTCATCGTATGGGCGAATAAGAACTTTTTTGACAATAAGTTTGCAAGTTATTCTACAAATAGGTTTCTCTCGGCTGTAAATTTTGATTGAGAAAGATTCATTCTATATACACCCTGTCATCCTAGTTACTTTTCTCTCTATTTAAATAAAAACAGTCTAAATTAGTTGTTGTAACAAAAAAAATAAAAAAAAAATTTTTTTTTTTGTTTAATTTTGAGTAAGGATACAATTAAAAAGATAAACTTAAATTATTGTACTGTGTGAACAGAATGAGACCAAAGGAAGTACTGTATGAATGAAGCACTTTGGTCGGTGTTGTGAGATAAATTCCATCTGCAATTATTATGACATTAATGCTCTTAATTTCCTCTAGCCCACCACCAAGGCCGGCAGCAAAATATAAGTGATTTGGTTTTTTCACATGTATTTTTAGATAATTTTTTTATGGTATAGAAATAATAATTAAAAATTTTAATTAAATAAAATTACTCAATAAAAATTATAATTATATAAATTTTAATTATTATTAATATATTAGTATAAAAAATATTCTCTAGAGATATGCACAAAAATCAAACAATTTATATTTTAAAATAAAAAATGGAAAAGTTGTTAAGAACTTTTTTTTTTTTTTTCTGGGCATTTGTTAAGAACCCGTTGAGTCTGTTCGCATTGAGGAGTAAAGATTAGATTAGACACATTAGATAAAATTCTTTCATCTTCATATATTTTTTGTACCAACAATTTCAATAAATTATTATATACTCGACACCCCTAATTAAATGAAATATGTAATTGTAGATAAAATAATTTGTAAGTACTCATAAATATCATGAACTTTATTACTAACTAGAAACTTAATTAAGTAATACATTTGAACTTCGAAACTAAATCACTATAAGTCATAATGAATGGTATACCCCTAATTTTTGAGTTGGATTCAAATCTTCTTCTCCTAAAAGTTATAGTTTTTTTTTTTAAAAAAAAAAACTTAAGTGATGCTTCGTGTAATTTGGTTTTATTTTTTAAATTTTTTTAATAATTATAAATTTTTATAATTTGTTACTATTTCAACAAATAATAAAAATTTGCCAATCATCTCTATCAATTTTTTGTCTCCATATTGATAAATTGTTTGATGTTATTTTTTCTCTCTTTATAATCTCCTCCTTAGTTATCTAAACCCTATCTATTTGGATACTATATTTTTCTCAATTTTTTACATTAAAACCGTATATCTTTCCATATCTCTCTATGAAATACCTTCAATTCTCTTGTTTGTTTCATCATCATATATTTATGTTATGGTTATGCATTTTAATTCAAGCTTAAATTTATACATATATCTCTCCTCATTTTTCTTTCTCAAACTGATTTTTTTTTCCACATTATTTTATACTTTTATTTCTTTTTTAAATTCATTTCACTTTTACTCTTTTATATTATCATTGTGTGTTTTATCTGTGTATGTTTTTATATATCTTTGTAAACTCCTCTCAATATTAGTAATTTTTTTATTATTTTTATTATTTTTAACTTATTATTATTTTTATTCTTTATTCTCTCATATCAACTGTTCTTTCT